AGTGTAACCAAGCCATGCCCCGTGTTCACGGTGACACAACCTCCTACACCCACCAATACCCAAACCATATCCCTATCCGGTCACCATTTATCATTTCCACCATTTATATTTCCCAAGTGATCATAATACAGTAATATATTTCCCTATATCTCGCGAGTGACAGGCAATCACTCGACTTATACTGGAGTCATGTAGCATAGCATTCTATATGATCCTGTCATACTAGTAAGACTCATAAGATAAAGATATATATGCAAGTGGGTTTCAATCAACTCCTTAAAACTTAATGCACAAATATAATTTAAACGCGGAGGCAGGATGGGACGGCGCAGCATGGCCGGCAGCGGCACACCTGCGCGTGCACAGGGAAATGAAATGACCCGGCGTGGCAGGGGCAGAGCCACGTGCTATTCAGATGAAATTTCAAGCGAAGTAGTACACGGCAGCAGCAGGGACGACACATGCTCCACGCGCTATGGCACGGCACAGAAACAGACAGGGAAAAAGAAAGAGCAAGCAATCGACTCAATAGCGCGGCGCGACGCAATAATTTGGGTGATTCAAGCGGTCAGGACGGCAGCTATCGCTGGTACGTTACCAATTTATCTAAGGACTAAAATGAGTATATACATAAATGTAACATGTCACTAGACCAAAGCTTGTCAACTGAGCGTGCTTATCAAAATAAACACATGAGTGTGTGTATATATATATATATTTCTATCGGTTTACTAATTTTGACAATTAGCAACATCTAGGCACAAGGGGATTTCCAACAAAGCTCGAATTTAAATTAGCTTCCAAAGCTATATATACATCGTTCTATTTATTAATAAATTTTATTTTATTTATAAACATTGTTGTTCATGTTTAATCTAATAGAACAAACCGTTCGCTATCTATTGGCTAGAATGTTAATTCGATATTCCGAAATATCTTTACGCACGGAGAAATTTAACTTTGCGTTGACTCGAGTCCGAAAAACTAAGTCACACATGATTCCCTTATTACGGCAAGTACGTTTTAAATCAAAAATTCGAGAAACTCGTTTCGGAAATTTTTCTTAGGCCTAAATCATGGTGCTAAACAAGCTTGTAACACCAGGGGTGTTACACTCATCGTGGGCCTTGGTCGCCGCTGTGACCTGGAACTGGGGAGAGAGGTAGGATTGGAGCGATAGAAGTTTAATTGCTTGAGACCTTAAACTCACATTGACCCCCACCACTTGGCGCTCGCGTTGCTTTGTCCAGGAGGCCCACCATCGGTGCGGTGACACGCCAGTGCCACGCTCGGCACGTCGTCGTGAGGTGCGGGGTACGTGGTCGGGTTGCCTCGTCGCTCCTCCATCTCAACCGCCACCGTAGCGCGAACTCTGGTGAGCTCCTAATGCTTCTCCACCACTTAAACTCTCCCGTGAGCATGTAGGTTCGGTTGAACGGCCATGCCGCCGCCGCAAATGGCTGCTCGATGCTGTAGCTCACAGTACTGCTTCCCTGAGCCCCTAACCGCCTCCTAGCTGTGCGCGTTTAGCCGTGGATTGAGGTCAGCCCCTTACTCCAGTCTTAGCGAGCCTTGGTAGCCCGGCGTAGCGGCCCTCTGCCGTCGGCCACCATGGCGGCGAGCGCGGGGAGTCCAGGGACCTCCTCGTGGTGAAGTCGGCAACATTCGAGGGCCCATTTGCAAAAATGATGACTAGGAGAATAGTATGTAGGGAGGTTGTGCTATTACGTAGAAGAACAGGGTCTCTTTTGCAAGAATGCCACCGCACGTGGGCGTCCCAACCTTGGGCCGCGTTGGGTGTCGCGGTGCGCGCGCGCCCATACCCCGCGCTGGGCCGGCGTCGTGTCAGATTGGGTTAAGGTCAACCCTTTTCTTTTTTCCAAGTATTTGCTAATTTAACTTCTAAGCTAAAATTGAAAATTCAATATAAATTTGTGTAGTGGACCAAAAATGTTGAAACCAATTTTGTTAGGTTCCTAAAATCATGACCTATCTGCTAATATATTTTGTTCACTTAGTTTCATAGAATTTTCAAGAGTAGACTAATTAATTTGAGGCACGTAAAATAGGTAAAACATGAACTTGTAGGAATTATTATGATGAATTGGTAGTAGTACTGGCCCTGAAATTTTTATAGTAGATTCCTAACATTATTAGATGCACATTGTAATTTTTGTAGCTCCATAGGAATTAGTTTGTTAAGGTACCTAAATGAGCCCTAGTACGAAAATATATATTTTCTCAATCAAATGTCAAAAATAATTGGGGATTTGTAGAACGAAAACATTTTCCGGAAACGAGCCTCACTTGACCACGTGGATACATGGCTTAGTATGTTAGTCAATAGAGCTAACTCGTTAGCTTGCGAGACGTAATCATATTTTAGACTTGCGATTGTCGTTGATTATTTACGTCCCTACGTTGCATCCACGTATTTCATGATAGGAGCGATGTTGGATCGCGGAGTCATTGGGAGTAGCGGAAGTAGATGGTTCCTTGATGGTCGTGTCACTATGATTGAATGCTAACTTTTGGTTATATCTTACCTAGGTAAGCTCCGGTGCATAACCCCTTTTATTCTGCACTTAATTTTATGCTTGTGCATTAAGTTTTAAGGAGTTGAATGAAACCCACTTGTATATATATATATATATCTTTATCCTATGAGTCTTACTAGTATGACAGGATAGTGTAGATTGCTATGCTACAGGACTCCGGTAGAAGTCGAGTGATTACTTGTCACTCGCGAGAGATAGGAAAGATATTATTGTTGTTATTATATTAATATCACCTGAAATATGTATATGAATAATAATTGGAGACCGGGTGGAATGGTACCTTAGATCTGGACCTGGTTTAGCATTCGAGCGAGGCTCAGATTGCACTTGTTCCGCCTGTGTCGATTGTGGACCGTCTGTTGCATTGGATTCTAGTCAGGTCATAAACTTACTATCCTGAGCACATACTTGCTTATGGGAGCAGGAAGGCTCGTTGCTCTCTTATCGTGGGTTCTGGCTCTTTCCGAACTGACTAATTGGAGGCGGAGATGGTGGAGGTCTAAGCACCACACTGAGTCCGGGACTCAGAATTGGGGGCTTGGAGTCTAAATTTGGACTGGACAGGAGAGTGGTGGGTTGGTCTTGCTTGTGCCTGGGGTACAAGCGGGGCGTGTGTTTCGGGGTACCCAGCTAGGATACATTGGTTCGTGAATCATCGTGTGATACGGTACGACTTGGCTATGATCTAGCACCGTAGTAAGAACTGAAATATAAAAGATGGTAAAATGGTTCTGATTGCTTACCACCTGCTTGAAAGTAGCATAGGTGCTTACATAGAATTGTTAGTTAATGAACTAAGGATAACTGCTAATAAAATTGAATATAAAGACGCATGTTTAGTAATGCTCCTGCAGATGCAATAAATCCACAAGCTAGATAGCCTTGCATATCCTTGGAGTCTTTTCTTTCCTTCTGACCGGTAAGCCTTGTGGAGTACAATTGAGTACTCATGGTTTGTTCTACCTGTTGCAGGTGACAGGAATATGTGGAGTTGACACTTGTGTGTGGAAACCTCCTGATGGGGTCAGCGAGGATTTCCTTAACGTTGTGGACATAGAGTTTATTTGAAACTTTCACCAAAATATTTTACAATGGAAAAACTTATAACCTGTTATGATGTATATAATGGATCATCATGTTAATGTTTAACTTGTCATTAAATGATTTTATTTCCTCTGAAACTCTGATAACATGGTTATATTCCGCTGTTATAAATAATAAATATTATACTCTGATGTTGCATGGAAAGTGATGTAAGAAATGGCTAAAATATTGTAAGCTTTATTCTCCCATTTATGATCCTGTTGAAAATTATGGATTTTCGGGTTCTTCCATTAGGTGTGCTCGATAGAACTGTTTAAATTAGCTCACTCTTGGGGTGTTTAATGTCTAATGGAAGACAAGCACCTCCGGAAGTGAGTTATTTTAGACGGTTCTGTCACAGGTGGTATCAGAGCATAAATGAGGAAATAAAGCTTCGAAATACTTTTCTAAACTAAAAATTTGACAACTTATTTTTACAAAAAGTTAGGACGTATAACTACGAAGTTTAAAAGTAGCCCTATGACTATAGTTAAGAATTCAGAATAGGTTTAACTAGGTTTTTTCCGGTGGACTGACTCTCGCGTAGTATACGATCTTTAAGTCAGTCGAACTGTTACTGTTTTAGGTCGTCGTGACCGTATTGCTGGTAGATCCGCCCTTCATAGATGTCACACGTGTCGTATTGTGCACGATTGACCCATCCTTATTCTGGAGTTGTTACTGCACTGTGACTTTGTGCTCCACGTTCGCCTATGGTCCACGCCTGCCGTGACCCACATCTTTCCGTACTCTTTTCTGTGCTCTTGTCGGACCCTTACCCTGCAGCCATACTAGTCATTAATGGCCTCGGACATCGCTTGCCTAGAACGCGTGAAAAATTCAGTCGATTCATTTGTAGTGATCTCGTGCAGGAACCGTGGGTGGACTGCGCCAGGACCACTGATCGCTCTGCCATTATAAGCAGGGCCTGGCCTAGCCAATGGTACCACCACCCAGTGCACTCCAGCTCACCTAGCTTTTTCTTTTGAGCAAGCTTTTCACTCAAACCTTTCTTGCAACCACCCGCTATGGATGGCAGGAGCCTGGGTTAGTAGTTACTGCTCGAACGCTGAGGGTTTTCCCAAAATCTTGTATGCCACCCTACAAAAACTCGGGGTCAAGGATCGTTCCGAGTACGAGGACCGTGAGTATGAGGGCCTTTCGTAACAACCTGTTTGGGATTTGACCCCCAACAGATAATGTCAATGGTCATAATCAAGGTTATTACAACCAGAGGTATGTAGGAAGGTGTCATGCATTCAGCTAAAATCAGCACGGTACTTCATACGTACTAGCTATATCTATATCGTAGAACAAGATCAACATTGACATATAGAGATTACACATGCATGCAGGTCATCACGTCTGTTCATCGACGTGCTGCCGCACGACTAAGCGAGTGCGCAAGGGTGTCCTCATCTCGGTAACAAGCCCTGGCTTCTCTGACATGTCAACCGCCGGCGCCTCGTTCTTCCCACCACAAGAATCACAACCACAACCGACGACCGGCTTCCATTCGAACTGCACGACCATATTCTCCATGAACGACAGCAACACCTTCACCGAGACCGCTGCACCGGGGCACGCCCTCCGCCCAGCACCGAACGGTATCATCTTCATCGTCTCCGGCTCCAGCCCGCCGCTGCTGACGCTGGGGATCCCACGGATGGAGGACCCTTCTCCACCTTCAAGGAACCGCTCCGGGCTGAACACGTCTGGGTCAGTCCACAACTTGGCGTCACGGCCAATCTCGGCCACGCCATAGTTCACTATGGAGCCCTTTGGTATCACATATGATGATCCGTGCAGTGAGACGTCCCTGTCCGTCGTGTGTGCCAACAGGTAGTGCGCTGGAGGGTGACGACGCAGGGCTTCGAGCACCACGGCCTCAGCGAATGACCTCCTCTCACCACCACCACATGTCGCCGATCTTCGGCTGCCGCCGGCGATGTCGTTCCACAGCTTATGTTGAATATCCTGGTGGAGCACAAGCCGTGCCATGATCCATTCAAGCGCGGTGCTCTGTAGGATTTAGGATCACAGATCACACGAATTTTCAGTGGCTAATCCTAACTGGATTGAGGAACAAATGTAAAACAAGGACGAACATACGAACTGACACTGAACACTGTCAGAGGTCAGAGCCTCTTTACTCAGATACGTGTGAAACGTACTTGACAATTACAAATGAACCAAGCAGTTAACACGGATGCTTGGACAAGCTACTTATACCAGTAGCAAACTCACGCACTAATCTTAGCAAATCAACTGCCTAAACATAGGCTAAACACACTTAAATGATAACTGCAACTCGACACAGGAGAACGTGGGCGCGGTCACCACACCACTGTCTTCGGCTGATTCAAACTTACCCAGTTCCCGTCTTGACAGTCACATTCAGTAAACCTCCACGCTTCCTTGAGCTGCTCCATCTGTCAGACTCGGTGTATGCAGGATTACACTGAACATGCTCGTCGTCTTGGCCGCTGCGTTCATGAACTCCCAGCACAGACTCACCAACTCATGGTCTCCGAGCCTCAGCCTTAGAAGCGTGTCCACATAGCACTGTGGCGGCAGTACTGTGCCGCCGCCATCGTCGTCTCCGACTCCGACTCCGACTCCGACCATGTTTTGCTGCCACCGACGACGAGCACGAACGAGGGTCATGACAATATTATGGTGCCTCCTCTGCGCATCGAACAGCTTCCACGACCTGGGCAAGTAGTGCGCGACCTGAAGTGCCATGCTGGGCATGAGGTGGAGCGCGTCGAGCTCAACAACGAGCGACAGGATCTCGGCGTGCAGGCCACGAAGACGCGTGAGCACGCCGCCACCGCCGTCGTCGTCGGCGGCGGCGTCGGCTATGGCCTGCTCGCCGAAGCACAGCGCGGCGAAGAAGCGGAACACGGCGTGCCGGAGAGTGTCTGACGGGACGACCACGCCGTCGGCAGCCTCCCGCGCCGCGCGCTCGAGGTTTCCAAGGAGCCGATCGACGGACAGCCGCAGTGGTCCGGCGATGTCCGCCGCCGCGAGGTGTGAGCAGAGGTTGCGGCGGAGCAAGGTCCATCGGCTCCCGTACGTGGCGCTGTTGACGCCGTAGCCATTGACTCCGGAGGACAGCAGTGACGATGATGGGCGGTGCGCGAAGGTAGCGCCCATGCGGACGAGCGTGCAGTGCGCGGTCTCGTGGCTAGCGATGAAGATGGCCGGCTTGCTGCCGGCGCAAAGGGTCACCACGGGGCCGTGGGCATGGTGGAGGCGCCGGAGCACCATGGACAGGGAGGCGACGGTTGGGGAGAGACCGAAAAGGCTCCAATGAAGCGGGAGACGTGGACATCCGGGAGGGAGTGGGATTCCACGGCAACATTGCTGCTTGTTCTTGAGAGCTAGGAGGAAGACGACTAGGGGAGAAACCACAGCAAGGAAGAGGAGTGGCAGCATGTTCTTAATTGGTAGAGGAAGAGGTAGGGATGAAAACGGATCGGATACGAACGGATATCACTCATATTATATTTGTTTTCATATTTTTATTCGGATTCGGATTCGGATTCGGACACGGATAGCGTTCGGATACATATACGAATATGGATTGACTCGGTTACGGATACGAATAATGAGTATCGAATACGGTATGAATCGGATTCGGAGAAGGTCGGATACAAATATCTATTCGGATATTGAGTAAAAGCAGCATATATATATATATATATATATATATCATGCAATGCATAAACCATTACACCACTCTATGAGTCCATAATCCATCTAGATTAAGCCGAAAGACTAAAGAGTAAAGCAACAAATAAGATAAAGATACAGATACATCATACATCAAACATCATATAAGCACCAATCTTCGCGGCATGAGTAGAAATAGCCAAACACATTGCTTCATGGGTCTCATGGAGTCATGGTCATGGATTCAAGATCTACAATCCTTATATAGGCTATTTTTTTCATTTTGAGATAGTTTGAATAAAATGTAGTTCAAATTTCACAAGTGTGTGACATAGTTTTAGAAAGTCTGTACGAGATTTAAGAATTTGTGACTAGTGTTTGATAAAACTTTCTCAAATGGGAAAATGAGCTATGTAACAATTGTATATCTTGCTGAGATGATCAAACTTGATATTCAGAGTTTTTTCATCTGAGGTCATTTAGTGTCTCATTTGAGCAAGTTTGACCAAGTCAAATTTGGTCAAATGAAAAAATAACACTTTGACTCTAGTATTATGAACTCTAAATGACTTCAAATTGAAAAGTTTTGAATACCAAGTTTGTTCAACTCATCAAGATCTACAATTCTTGTTTTGGTCAACTTTCCATTTGAGATAGTTTGGACGGTTCAAATTTATGATTTTTAAATTTCGATGCTTACAAACTAGTTTTCGGAACCCTAGATTGTCTCAAATTGAAAAGTTTTGAATACCAAGTTTGTTCAGCTCATCAATATCTACAATCCTTATATAGGCTATTTTTTCATTTGAGAAAGTTTGAACAAAATGTAGTTCAAATTTCACAAGTGTGTGACATAGTTTCAGAAAGTCTATATGAGATTCAAGAATTTGTGACTAGTGTTTGATAAAACTTTCTCAAATGGGAAAATGAGATATGTAACAATTGTATATCTTGCTGAAATGATCAAACTTGGTATTCAGAGTTTTTTCATCTGAGGTCATTTAGTGTCTCATTTGAGCAAGTTTGACCAAGTCAAATTTAGTCAAATGAAAAAACAACACTTTGACTCTAGTATTATGAACTCTAAATGACTTCAAATTGAAAAGTTTTGAATACCAAGTTTGTTCAACTCATCAAGATCTACAATTTTTGTTTTGGTCAACTTTCCATTTGAGATAGTTTGGATGGTTCAAATTTGTGATTTTTAAATTTCAACATTTACAAACTAGTTTTCGGAACCGTAGATTGTCTCAAATTGAAAAGTTTTGAATACCAAGTTTGTTCAGCTCATCAAGATCTACAATCCTTATATAGGCCATTTTTTCATTTGAGAATGTTTGAACAAAATGTAGTTCAAATTTCACAAGTGTGTGACATAGTTTTAGAAAGTCTGTATGAGATTCAAGAATTTATGACTAGTGTTTGATAAAACTTTCTCAAATGGGAAAATGAGCTATGTAACAATTGTATATCTTGCTGAGATGATCAAACTTGGTATTCAGAGTTTTTTCATCTGAGGTCATTTAGTGTCTCATTTGAGCAAGTTTGACCAAGTCAAATTTGGTCAAATGAAAAAACAACACTTTGACTCTAGTATTATGAACTCTAAATGACTTCAAATTGAAAAGTTTTGAATACCAAGTTTGTTCAACTCATCAAGATCTACAATTTTTGTTTTGGTCAACTTTCCATTTGAGATAGTTTGGATGGTTCAAATTTATGATTTTTAAATTTTGAATAAATATCCGGATAATATCCGTTTTTAAATATCCGGATATATCCGATACTTATCCGGATTATCCGATATCCGCCGGATATCGATGATATTACATCCGTATTTGATATCCGCCTAAGATATCCGTTTTAGTATCCGTATCCGAAAAAAAACGGATATCCGAGTAACTATCCAGATAAGTGTTCATATTTATTCGGTCGAACGGACGGTCGAATAAATATCCGTACCGTTTTCATCCATAGGAAGAGGAGACACCGCGTGTCAAATCTGGAGGCAGATGTCTATGAGATTGAGCCTCTCGCAGTCCCGACGTTTTAATTTATAGAGAAATTAGCAAACGTCCACCAGAGAAAATCGATGTTTAGTCTAGGCTGGGAAAGGGATTTAGTCCCGGTTTCGTAGCCGGGGATCAGGACTAAACGTCCTCAGGGGCTAAAAAATTTTTAGCACAAGCCTCCCAACCCCATGACTCGCACCTCATGTATTGCCTCACATGTAGCTTTCTAACTCACCTACATAGCACATGTGTCTTTGAATGTGATGCTTTTCTTTTGAACTAACATATGGATGACCATTTAGTCCTGCCGGTTGATACCACCTTTAGTCTCGGTTGGTGTCATCAACTGAGATTAGTGCCTTTAAGACTCTTTAGTCCAGGTTGGTAACACTGATCAGGATGTAGACCCTTTAGTCCGGATTGGTGCCTCCGACACCTATAAAACTTGGACTCAGGACTAATGCTCACATTAGTCCTGGGCCCAACACTAGCCGGGAGTAACGTGCTGAACAAAATGCCTGTTAACTTCTGTTGGTGCATGCGTTGCACCTAGCTTATTAGTTGAAGCAGAGGAGACTACCCTGTAAAAAAATGTTTCTGTTCTTTCAAAAAAAATGTTTCTATTGCAAGAGCACCAAAAATGGTACACCGCTTGACTCTTGACGCCAAACAGAATCGATCACCTCCGTCAGTATCTTCTGTTGCAAGTTGCTTGCAACATCCAAGCCCATCCTTTTCAAACTACAGCCACGGAAAAGTCGCCTAGGAATTGAAACAATGACAGTAAGCTACACTGTCCTAGGAATTGAAACAATGACAGTAAGCTACACTGTGACAGTAAGCAACATCCAAGCCCATCTTTTTCCCATGGAAAAGTCGCCTAGGAATTGAAACAATGACAGTAGCCCGGCTCCCATGCCATGCCATTCATCACGGGGGCACCTTTGGTTCCACACGGGCCACAAACACAGGATCCGTCGTTGCCAAGGAGGCCACCGCACGTTGCTCCGACTACGAAAGGGGCACTACAGTTCCATGGACAGATGACCACCGCATGTTGCTCCGACGACCAAGGCCTGGTACTCCACTGTAGTTCTACAAAATGTCCATAATAGCCATCGTTAGAAATTTAGGCAAATTCAGTACTAATTGAATTAGAAATAGAATATTAACAGCACGTTTATGTGATATCACAAAGGTGCATATCAGAGCAACTCCAGCAGGACCCCTATTTGAGGCCCCATAGCTAAACATAAGGGCTTGGGTCAAAAAAAAAAAAACATGATCCATCAAGCCCCTACTCGAGACCCCATTTTTGTCTGGGCACCCAAATCCATCCTCCAGACCCCATTCCTGTGGGAGAATGGGGGCTCACCCCTCGGCCCCCATCCGACAGTTTGCTGCTCGCGCCGTACGGACCACGGCTCCTCCCTGCTCGCCGTGCTCCCTCTCTCCAGCCTTGGCGTGAGCGAGGTGAGCCACCGCCCTCCACCACGACCGCCCAAAGCTCCTTCCGCGACCTACCGGTGCCGCCACCTGCCGGCGCTGCTTGGTCATGGTTGGTCACCGCCCGGCCAGGCCCTTTCTCCTCCGCCACGACCGCCAGAGCTCCTCCTACGACCCTTCACCACCTGCCTCCGCCATGCCATGGTGCAAGCGTGGCCCGCCACTCCTCCCAGATGCGAGCGCGCCGCCCCGGCCAAGACTCGAGCTTGAGCTTGACTCGCCGCTCCGCCGATGCGAGCGCGCCGCCCCGACCAAGACTCGAGCTCGCGCACGCTGCTCAGTCATGGTGGCTCGCCGCCCGGCCAGGCCCATCCTCTAGAGCATCACGTCTCCCTCTCCCTCTCCCTCTCCCTCCCACACGCGGTCAGATCCGCCGGTTGATACCACCTTTAGTCTCGGTTGGTGTCATCAACTGAGATTAATGCCTTAAGACTCTTTAGTCCAGGTTGATAACACTGATCGGGATGTAGACCCTTTAGTCCGGATTGGTGCCTCCGACACCTATAAAACTTGGACTCAGGACTAATGCTCACATTAGTCCCGGGCCCAACACTAGTGGGGAGTAACGTGCTGAACAAAATGCCTGTTAGCGTCTGTTGGTGCATGCGTTGCACCTAGCTTATTAGTTGAAGCAGAGGAGACTACCCTGTAAAAAATTGTTTCTGCTCTTTCAAAAAAAAAATGTTTCTATTGCAAGAGCACCAAAAATGGTACACCGCTTGACTCTTGAAGCCAAACAGAATCGATCACCTCCGTCAGTATCTTCTGTTGCAAGTTGCTTGCAACATCCAAGCCCATCTTTTTCAAACTACAGCCATGGAAAAGTCGCCTAGGAATTGAAACAATGACAGTAAGCTACACTGTCCTAGGAATTGAAACAATGACAGTAAGCTACACTGTGACAGTAAGCAACATCCAAGCCCATCTTTTTCCCATGGAAAAGTCGCCTAGGAATTGAAACAATGACAGTAGCCCGGCTCCCATGCCATGCCATTCATCACGGGGGCACCTTTGGTTCCACACGGGCCACAAACACAGGATCCGTCGTTGCCAAGGAGACCACCGCACGTTGCTCCGACTACGAAAGGGGCACTGCAGTTCCATGGACAGATGACCACCGCATGTTGCTCCGACGACCAAGGGCTGGTACTCCACTGTAGTTCTACAAAATGTCTATAATAGCCATCGTTAGAAATTTAGGTAAATTCAGTACTAATTTAATTAGAAATAGTATATTAACGGCACGTTTACGTGATATCACAAAGGTGCATATCAGAGCAACTCCAGCAGGACCCCTATTTGAGGCCCCATAGCTAAACATAAGGGCTTGGGTAAAAAAAAACGTGATCCAGCAGGCCCCTACTCGAGACCCCATTTTTGGCTGGGCACCCAAATCCATCCTCAAGACCCCATTCCTGTGGGAGAATGGAGGCTCACCCCTTGGCCCCCATCCGACAGTTTGCTGCTCACGCTGTACGGACCACGGCTCCTCCCTGCTCGCCGTGCTCCCTCTCTCCGGCCATGGCGTGAGCGAGGTGAGCCACCGCCCTCCACCACGACCGCCCAAAGCTCCTTCCGTGATCTGTCGGTGCCGCCACCTGCCGGCGCTGCTTGGTAATGGTTGCTCGCCGCCTGGCCAGGCCCTTTCTCCTCCGCCACGACCTCCAGAGCTCCTCCTACAACCCGCCGCCACCTGCCTCCGCCATGCCATGGTGCAAGCGCGGCCTGCCACTCCCGAGATGCGAGCGCGCTGCCCCAGCCAAGACTCAAGCTCGAGCTTGACTCGCCGCTCCGCCGATGCGAGCACGCCGCCCCAACCAAGACTCGAGCTCGCGCACGCTGCTCAGTCATGGTGGCTCGCCGCCCGGCCAGGCCCTTCCTCTAGAGCATCACGTCTCCCTCTCCCTCTCCCTCTCCCTCCCACGCGCGGTCAGATCCGCCGGTTGATACCACCTTTAGTCTCGATTGGTGTCATCAACTGAGATTAATGCCTTAAGACTCTTTAGTCCAGGTTGATAACACTGATCGCGATGTAGACCCTTTAGTTCGGATTGGTGCCTCCGACACCTATAAAACTTGGACTCAGGACTAATGCTCACATTAATCCTGGGCCCAACACTAGCCGGGAGTAACGTGCTGAACAAAATGCCTGTTAGCGTCTGTTGGTGCATGCGTTGCACCTAGCTTATTAGTTGAAGCAGAGGAGACTACCCTGTAAAAAATTGTTTCTGTTCTTTCAAAAAAAAATGTTTCTATTGCAAGAGCACCAAAAATGGTACACCGCTTGACTCTTGAAGCCAAACAGAATCGATCACCTCCGTCAGTATCTTCTGTTGCAAGTTGCTTGCAACATCCAAGCCCATCTTTTTCAAACTACTGCCATGGAAAAGTCGCCTAGGAATTGAAACAATGACAGTAAGCTACACTGTCCTAGGAATTGAAACAATGACAGTAAGCTACACTGTGACAGTAAGCAACATCCAAGCCCATCTTTTTCCCATGGAAAAGTCGCCTAGGAATTGAAACAATGACAGTAGCCCGGCTCCCATGCCATGCCATTCATCATGGGGGCACCTTTGGTTCCACACGGGCCACAAACACAGGATCCGTCGTTGCCAAGGAGACCACCGCACGTTGCTCCGACTACGAAAGGGGCACTGCAGTTCCATGGACAGATGACCACCGCATGTTGCTCCGACGACCAAGGGCTGGTACTCCACTGTAGTTCTACAAAATGTCCATAATAGCCATCGTTAGAAATTTAGGCAAATTCAGTACTAATTTAATTAGAAATAGTATATAAACGGCACGTTTATGTGATATCACAAAGGTGCATATCAGAGCAACTCCAGCAGGACCCCTATTTGAGGCCCCATAATTAAACATAAGGGCTTGGGTAAAAAAAAACGTGATCCAGCAGGCCCCTACTCGAGACCCCATTTTTGGCTGGGCACCCAAATCCATCCTCCAGACCCCATTCTTGTGGGAGAATGGGGGCTCACCCCTCGGCCCCCATCCGACAGTTTGCTACTCGCGCCGTACGGACCACAGCTCCTCCCTGCTCGCCGTGCTCCCTCTCTCCGGCCATGGCGTGAGCGAGGTGAGCCACCGCCCTCCGCCACGACCGCCCAAAGCTCCTTCCGCGACCTGCCGGTGCCGCCACCTGCCGGCGCTGCTTGGTCATGGTTGCTCGTCGCCCGGCCAGGCCCTTTCTCCTCAGCCACGACCGCCAGAGCTCCTCCTACGACCCGCCTCCGCCATGCCATGGCACAAGCGCGGCCCGCCACTCCCCAGATGCGAGCGCGTCGCCCCGGCCAAGACTCGAGCTCAAGCATGACTCGCCGCTCCACCGATGCGAGCGCGCCGCCCCGACCAAGACTCGAGCTCGCGCACGCTGCTCAGTCATGGTTGCTCGCCGCCCGGCCAGGCCCTTCCTCTAGAGCATCACGTCTCGCTCTCCCTCTCCCTCCCACGCGCGGTCAGATCCATCAGCCAGCCAAGAAATCGGTCGATCTATCCCTGTACAACAGACGAGGAAGAAAGTGGAAGAAGAAAGAGACAATGACGAGCAGGTCCCATTTGTCATTCTCTACCGGAACATATTTGGGGCCTAAATTTGTGTGCTATTGTTGAAGTAGAAGGAAAAATTTGAGCCAACAAATTTAGGAGGGAGCACCCAAATTAAAAGTAGGGGCCCTGATTTGGGTGCCTCTACTGGAGTTGCTTTTAGTCACCGCCCACGGCATTGATTAGTCTCAACTCTAAATCAAAGCTTGGTCATCTCTTGACAATCTCTCATCACTCATCATACATGGGCATATATCTACCATGTGTTCGCAAATGATGACTCGGAGGCCACATCCAAGGAGTCCGGTGAGCCTTCGCCGGTGGCCGCTGATGAGAAGGGGAACGTGGTCGCTCAGCCTTCACGCGGTCGAGCCAAGCGCGCTGGCAGTCGTCGTCCTGCTAACTCTGCCTTTTCATGGCAGATGCCAGGCACCCACCGCCATCGCGCCATCCGGCACGAAGGTCTCCGCCGCCACCTCATCACTAGGATAGGGGAAACCACCATGCCAGGAGGGCGTCTCCCCCGTTTCGTCGTCCTGTCGTCTAGTGTGGCCCTCCGTTGTCTGTCTGCTGCGGCCCACCGGCACCCGGCTGCTGCTGATGCTGCTATGACTCGCCGCCGTGCTCCACAGGCCACGGAACCTTGCCACCACGTCCCCAGGATGGGCGTGCCCATGGACACGGAGGGCTTCACTCTCGTCCAGAGCCGGCGGCGCTGGTGTCGTCGTGCGCCAGAACGCCCTCACCGCCCTAGGCCAGTCCCGCTGGAGTTCGTCGGCAAATGCTCCAACTGCCTCTCTGGCGACCATGTCCATGCGGACTGCACCTTCCCATCACGCTGCTACTACTGCCACAGCTCTCGGCATCAGGCAAGGAACTGCAAGCGCGAGCACCCTGTCTCCGGCCACACCAACGCCGGGACCAGGGAACCTCCAAGAAATTAATGCATAGTTTGGAGGCAGTAGTGTATTCAACATACATGAGCAGAATCGTGATGAATCCAGCAATATTATAGGGTAAATGGCCCAATATAATGCATAGATTGGTCCAAACTTTAAATTTTTAGAAGAGCACGAAGGAAATGAAAACTGGTAGATTCTATTGAGGAATATAGCTTATCAAAGAAATTAAATACTATCTTGATTTTTAGAACTGAGAAATTTCACAACTACTTGATAGGAAAGGGAAAAAGATGAAATAAAGGTAACAATAATTTTAAACCAAGAAATTGATTGGCACATATATGGTTGTCCATACCGATGGATGTAATTAGATGAATAAAGGGATGACTAATGTAATCAAACAAAAAAAAGTATTTATAAAAGTTAATTTAAAAAATCCAAATGTTACATTGATGAAAATAGCACAGGGTTCTCCATCCACCGCACAACCTAAACATATTTATTAGTAGTACAACAACAAAACCATAAACTAAACATTCCGAACCATTATTCTTCAGGAATGTCAACAGGTAGTGCAGATAGGTTGCAAGACGAGCGAGCGCCACAGGTCTCGCCGCAGCGACCATCATCTCAAAGAGGCTGAGAACGATGGTGAACATGAAAAGAAACCCCGTGACGCTGGCAGATGAGTATTCGGCTTGCATGTTGTAGGTGGGAATCAAGGTAACGAAGCCGCCAAAGTTGAGAATAATAGCCCAGAGATCGAAGATGTTGTCAAGCTCCTCTTGAATAGCTTCTTCTTTCTTTCTTTCTTTCTTTTTGTGAACATCTTGAATAGCTTCTTCATTATCGTGCACTCCAACAGGCAACATTTTGTGCTGAAAGAGGGCGGCGCCGATGATCAGCAGCGGAACGGAGGGGATGCCATAGGCGTAGCGCTTGTCGAATGAGATGAACACAGGAATGTGGTCAAGATGAGAAGTGACGACGACAAATAGACCAACCCACGGCCCAACGACTTTTTGTGTTCTTCTTCTTCATCAGGGAGAAGAGTAAGCCTGCTGCGGCGACGAGACAAATGTGAACTCCCGGTGGCGGTGGACGATACTACAGGAGCAGCAAAGCACGACGAGACAAATGTGCAGGTCTCGAACCCGAGGGCTTTCTGCGAGTATTTGTAGCAACGCTCCTGCAGCTCCTCGACCTGGTCGGCTGGTGTGCAGTGAGCCATGACAACCTGGATATATATTTTCCAAATAAAATAATAATATAAGCTAGTAATATATATGGACTGTGAATAAAATTAAATAAGCATGTGGAGAAAATGAACAAGAAGATCACACACACCGTGCAACAGTTATGAACTCTGGAGCCGACGCACTCGGCCTGCTTAACAATAAAGGCAAAGAACATGAACAGCCACCTAACATACGGCACGTTTGTTGGTTGGTTTTTAGGCTGATAAACTCGGCTGGTACTGATTTGTTGCGAGAGAAAAAAATGCTGTTGGATATATGGTGACTGATATATGGTTTGCCTCGAGATCTATCTCAAGTCCCGGAAGTGAATTATGGGCTCCAGAATCAGTGTGCTGTACTTGTCCTGACAGTGGAGCGGCAGTACCTTCGTAGAAAAAAACAAGTTAAACAAAAAGGTAAGGGATGCTTTGACAGATTTGGAGAAACAAAAATTTTGCCTGCTAACTACAATGAGTGGTGCATGTTTGGATCCTAAACTAATGTCTAGTGATGAACTATTATCGCTTGCTTGGTAGGTAGTGTTGTGTCTAGTTAATGGGTTAACGACTAGCTAGTGGCGTGGCATGACTATTTTTAGCCCACCTACAACAAATGGCTCCTGCCGCTGGTAGCATATATAAACAAACCTTTAGCTAATACTCTTTATTTTTAGCACCTTCAATATCAATCAAATGGTTGACAAGGTTAGATGGCAAAGTGTAGCATAAAACATTAACGTTAATGAGTAAATAAAAAATATATATATTCCATCAAAAAAATAAAAAAAATATCTTCGTTCCCCTGGGGAAACAATACGTATCATGCATGGTAAGTTATATATGTAGTACCATCCATGAAACTGAGCCCAGCCTGCTTTGGTGCTGATGAGTACAGGACAACGTGGACTTTTTGCTGGCGAAACAAATAATAAAGAATCAATCAAATCTTCTACTACTTGAGTAGAAGAGCTAGCGCGCATTCTCTAATTGCATCAAATATGATAACATGATATAGTATAAATAAATAAAGAGATGCTAAAAATTTCGTACGATGAAATAAGTTTCATGAAAATGAAACTTGTTTGCACTGTTTCTAACACCCGTGATTATCTAAATCCTGAAAACAAGGCCATGAAATCCCATTATCTATGAGGCTACGATACAAGACAAGTACACACTGCTCGTATCATTCCCCTCTCTTAAGACATGTTACGACTTCTCTTGAAGTCAAACTTTGTTTTGACTTCGATCAAATATGAATTAGAAAAATACTACTTCCGTTCCAAATTATAAGACGTTTTAGCTTTTCTAGATACATTGCTTTCAGTATGTATCTAGATATAGTGTATATCTATGTGCATAGCAAAAACTAATTTCATCCATCTTATAATTTGGGACGGATTTAGTATGTATCTAGACATAGTGTATATCTATGTGCATATCTATGTATATCTAGACGTTTTGTTTTTTCTAGATACATTGCTTTTAGTATGTATCAAGAAAAGCCAAAACGTCTTATAATTTAGAATAAAACATGGTAACATTCCCTTTACTTAATTCTTATTTGTTTGTGTATTCGATTCATCGATCTAATTGAACATCCATGATTTAAAAAGAAAATCACAACACAAAGTTACGAAAAGTTTTTTTTATGAGAAGGACAAAGGTACGACAAGTAATCTCGCATCCCCGACTTTGGCTATAATCGGATCATATAGACTGACAAGACGCAAAGTCACAAAAAAATAAATAAAAGAAAAGGCCCAAGAGAAGAGAGCCCCGATATGCTGGGCTGCAACATCAGAGTAGTAGCTAGCAAACGGGCTAAAAATGGGCTGCAACATCAGGTGACAGATTTCAATTACAGAACAAATTGACAGATCCGAGTTGTTGGATCAACAAAAGCAGTGGCCAAAATCGATGAGCGGCGTAATCCTAAATCCCGATTTCATCAGTCGCAAAAGCATGCATCCATCCGTCCACCAAAGGAAGCAGCAAAACCCTCCCCCCAAAGGAAACAACGACAAAACCAGAACCCCCAGTTTCAAGAGCACACATTCCGAGGATGAGCGGGTGCAGGTTGCATGTTTACCTCGCCGCCGAGCGTGGAGAGGACGTAGTTGACCGCGGCGTCGTTCGGCCCGTCCTGCTGCGCAGCCGCCGCGCCACCGCCTACTACGGCCGCATGCGTGTCGTTCCCGGCCAAGTACGCTCCCATCATCATCCCCCTCGATCTCTCTCCCTGCTTCTGCATGCTTGCCTGCTTCCCTCTCTGGATCTTGGTGGTAACAAGCTAGCTGCTGGTTATTATATATATACCCCCGGCACCATTTGAATTTGAATTATATATAAGGTGCACGACCAGAATTTTAGACTTCTAATAAGGTGGGTTTCTCTTAGTGTTTTATCATTTAAAATTTAGTATAAATTTTCTATACTAAATGTCTCCTGTTAAGATTCTCATGTGCTAGCGAGGAAACAACAGCCAGCGAGGAAACATTCAGGACGGATGACGGATCGCACGTTTACGGTTGCGGAGATGACGTCGCAGCACCGATCGATGCCAAAGCAAAGACTACTATATATATACGTACCTATTTTCTTGATTGAAACGCATGTATTTTACATCCATATTGATTTGATACTTCGTCTCAATGCTGTATTTGATCAATATACATCATTGCATCTACATACAATATTAAGTACTATCTTCGTCTCAATGCTGTATTTGATCAATATGTGTAACGACTTATTTAGTACTATCTTGCGTTGGTCAGGTGCTCAAAGTGTATGGATTAGTTAAAATCCGACGCTGATGGACAGACAGCGACGACTCAGCGCGCGCGGCGGTGTCCGGCTGGTGTATATATAATATAATATCTTCAAATGGTAAGTGCTGAAAGTGTATATGGTCTAGTTAAAATAGGACGCTGATGGACAGACAGAAGCGGATTTCATTTGGAGCACGTTAACGCGTGAGCGTCACTAGTTACGCATTCAGGCAAATTAAATACGACGCTGATGGACGGACAGGAAATATGCAATGTTTGCGTCACGATCCTAAGCTAGTATCAGTTTTAATACTTGCAACACCCCACACCCACACCCCCTTTTTTTTGAAAGGGGAGAGATCCCCCGCCTGGATTTCATTAAGATCAGAACAAAAGTTCGGGATACAAAGCATAAATCAGGAGCTAATCGGAGCCCTGATTATAGAGGTACAAAAATTGTAAAACTAGAACAGCGATCCAGTATAAGGGTGGCATATCCACAGATACAATTAAAAGAGAAAAAGAAAACTACAACACCGAGACATAGGAGCTCATTTGACGATGCCTCCAGTGAGGTGGATGACGCCGCGACGTAATCATCGTCAGCCAAGCAACGAAAGGTGACATCTCAGGAGCTTGGCAAGGTTTTCGCCCGAGCCTTATGCCGAGGGGTTGAAACGGGCCAACCACAGAGAAGCGGCAGCAAGAGGTTCTGCAGTGACGCCTTGAAGAAAGAGATCATCGTCGCTGGCTCAGATTGATGTGAGCAGAGCTTTCGCCTAGAACCTTTGCCGAAACTCTTGCTGACCCACCAGCGACAGAGGAAGGTGCACGTATCGACGAACGACCGCGTCAGGACGAAGGGGGAGTGCCGGTCGCCGCTACACCACACGGAGCCGTTGTCGGACTGACCCGCGACAGTGGGAGGCGCGCACCGGCAAGCGTCCGCACCTGAACGGTGGAGGGGGTGCCGGTCGCCGCCACACCGCACAGAGCCGTACTCGGACTCGCCCGCGACGGAGGGAGGCGTGCAC